AATAAACTCAGTAATACTGCAGATATTCAGTCTCTAGACAGTAGCTCCCCCCACCCCTGCATTAAACATCATTGTTTTTGGCCTTCACTGTTTTGTGTTATTTTTTAACTGGTCATTATTACCAGGAACTACAGTGGATCCTAATTCAATGGGCTTCTATGGCATGGATGTCTCCAGGTTACACAAGCCTAAACAATGACCTGCTGTCTCAGCTCTGACTGTGTTTGACAGCCATAAAAATGCCCAGTTTCATCTCATGCCATGAAAGTAGACCGCTGTCATTTTCATTTGACAGACTGTCACTTATAGAGTGATACTGAAACGCAACTTGTTAATTGGCATCCTGACGTACGGCGTTTACACACGTCATACAGTTTAAAGATGTGACAGAACACCTCTAGAGATGGTACAGTAGGAATAGTTTTCTCATTAATTGAGGGCACCGCAGTTGTCGAGCCCTATTAGGAGGATATTGTGCCAATACATGTATGATAATGATGCTTACCTCACTCACCCAGGTTACCCTTGAACTTTTACTTGAAGAACATACATACAGACTGCTTATGAACAAGATCTGTAAAAACATGTCTGTGGTGAGTTCTGGTGAGAGGAAAAACTAGATAAGGTCTCCCAAATTTGTGTCTGGGTCCGTGTGAGGACACTCAGTCTCATCCCCAAGGAACTTCTCCCTTGACTGCAGGAAGAATTGAGAGTGATATGAGAAAATGAGAATGTGATTTAAACTGGATAACATGAGTCTTGCATTAAGGCTCTCTCGGGAGATGCCTGTATGACCCCCGCTGGCCCGGGTTTGCCCTTGAGCTTTAGTTTATTCATGTGCACTCATAAAAAAAGATGAAAGGAGAAATGAGGGAAAACAAATCACAGGTGGAGCAGGTGAGATAAACAACCACAGGGAGCCTATAAACGCATCGTGTCATAAATGGAGCAAAACTGAGGTGACAAAAGCGCTCCTGAATTAGATGACAGAACTTGAGTGACAAGGAAACGTATTATATCCAGAAAAAAACCCGGCTCCTGTGACAAGAGAGTTAAATGAAATGAAAAATACATATGGAGTGAAAACTCAACACTCTCTCCTGCTCTGTGTCCATCTGAACACCAGAATGCACAGAAAAAAAAAATGTATATTACAGCCTCTTGGGAGACACCGATATCCAATCAGACTCCAGCACACACACATTTACAGTTACACCTCCCTGAGAGATTACAGTCATGTAAACCACTTTTTTCCCCCCTACGCTGACGAGGGAATCGGGACTTCTTCTCTTCACTGTACCCAGTATGTGTTGTCGTGATCCCTTCGCTCGCGCTCACTTATGCCTCCGGGCTGCTCACCGCCCCCTCCCTCTAAGGATTTAATATAACACATTCCACTTCCCTGTGGGAGTTTCAAATAAGCAGAAGTTAAAAAATGAGACCATATTTTTTTCAAACAATGCATGTAGCATATTTAAATGTTCCTGTAGAACTGCGGCTGCTCATCCAGAGCACAACCGACAATGCCACATTTGTGTAATAGAAGTCTATGGATAATTTGGTAAATTTGGTAAATATGCTAAATAGCGCTCAATATGACAAAAGACACATTTGAACGAGGTGTACTTGCACACTGTTGGATTTCTGACGGCATTTATGAGCGTGTGTAAGTGTAGCGGTTTACAAACAGACACGTGTACGTGCTCTCTGGTTTCACATAGGTGACTCATGTGAGGTCTTCCCCTGTTGGAGGCGACTGGGCCACTTTGTGATCAGCAGCACTTGTAGTATTGATTGCACAGCAGCTTGATTGCTCTCAAACTGGTTCACCTTCAACCGGGATGGGCAAACTCTCAATGGACACTTGTTTGGAGATCCACGGCTCCTCTACAAGCCCGCTGATTAGATTTGTGGTAGATTGAGTGGCTGAATTATACAACAAATTCTTGGTGGAACAGCTGCTCATACGGTAAGAACAGCAACCCGTAATCTCAATGTAAACAAAAGGGTCGTACCACTGTCAAAGCAAAACAAAGACTCACTAACACTACAAAGTAACATAATCCATCTTCCATTATTTACTGATTAATCGATAAGTCGATTGAGATAATATTAATGGAAACTATGCTCATAATCAATTAATCATTTCAATCATTTTTCAGTCAGAAAAACCAAACATTCTTCAGCTTCTCTCATTTTAATTTTCTCTGTTTTTGAATTATTGTAAACTGAATATTTTGGGTGATGGACAAAACAAGATGTGAACAAAACAAATTCACCACGGTGTTCAACAGACAGAGTATACTGGTCTTTTTTTTTAAATACTATTTTCTGACATTTTTTAGTCAAAAAAAATTAATTAATGATTATTAGATAATGAAAACAATCATCGGTTGCAGCCCTAATTAACATTTTCAGTACTGCTGAATGTTTGTTTACATCACTTGTCTTTGTAGACATGAGTAAGAGATGGCCTACATCTTCAACTACGATTAAATCTAAACTTATGATTAGATCAATAAAGCAAAATGTGTTTCTAGCTTTAAAAAAAAAAAACGATTGAAATGAAACAGATTAAAGGAGCACTCACAGGGAGTCTGCTCATTTCATGTTGTATCATGTCTCCTGTAGCTCTGTGGGGCGCTCTCCAAACTTTGAAAAAAATAACTGCACAGGTGTTCACTATCAAATTGCATTATGGGAAATTTAGGATCCAGTGTTTTTGGGTCAGGATATGACATCCCTGCCAATTCTTGTTTTGTAACTGTCTCTTGTAACTTTGCAAGGAGTGAAATGTCAATTATTATTGTGATTTGTGCACCTACATTATATTCACATGGTGGAGCCTCTTTAACAAACCAGCTTGGGTTTGACACTGAACTTCAGTTTCAGTGTCAGAGGAGCTGAGGACCAGGGACAGTCTCTTCCACCTGAGCCACAGCCAACTGCTTTCTACTATAGCTTCCATCCATAAGGTCGGCCAGTCTGCTGATCTGCTGAATAAATGTGATGCTTTAAGGGTTTTATTTTATACTAATCTTGTATATGTGAGGCAAATGTCCATTAGGGGAGTGATCGCCCAGCTGGGCCTGACCACTCTTTCAGAGAAGGGGTGATTAGACCATGGAAGGCTGCTCACCAGGGACTCCTGCGCGCACACACACACACACACACACACACACACACACACACACACACACACACACTCCCATGTTCCCCAGAGCCAAATGGCAACACAGGTGTGCCAGCCTGAGCTAGGGCAGTACACCAAACACGGACGTCCACCTCGGAGAAACGTCTGTCTCTGACACATCAACACATGCACACGCCATGAAAAACCTCAGGGCAGGGTGAGCTGAACTGTTACTGTGTCTGTTGTCTGCGACACCTGTAGCCCACTGAGGACAAAGGGTTAATGACGCCTCAGTCCTTCTTATAGGAATAAAGGCTTGAGCCCCCCCACCACCCCTGCCTTATACCCTCGGGACCTAAATGTTGTTGGTCGATGGAGGTGGGGGGTGGGTGAAGCTCTTTACCCCCTCCCACAAGCCCTGCTGTCTCCAAACAACCCCGCCCACACACACACACACACACACACACATGCACGCACGCACACACACACACACACACACACACAGACACCTGCAACACACACTCCCTTTAGTCACACTCTATTCTTGTGATTCTTATCATGTTAAAAAAGTAGACGTATTGTGTGTGTTTGTGTGCTTCTTTATGAATTGTGGTGTGTGTGTGTGTGTGTGTGTGTGTGTGTGTGTGTGTGTGCGCGTGCCTGTTGTGTCTATGCTAGCCAGGATGCCTCCTTGGGGGGAAGCAGAAAAAAAGAAATAGCCTTCTGCTCGCTCAGAAATCTGTCCTTGGTGTAAAACAGCATCACAGCAGCAACCAAGACAAGACAGAGTTTGCATGAATGAAACAGCTTTTCAGCAGAAATTCTTTATATATCATATATTAAAGAAACAATTAGTCCTACACATAATGAAAGTAAGCTGCTGTGTGTTTAACTGACTTGGCTATGCTTCTTGTGTTGGTGTCATTATCCTGTAAAGTCGCTGAACCAACACTCACTTTTATTTGAGTCAAAGGAGAAAAGAGACTCTCAGCACTTTGTTTTTAAGAGAGGGGCAGTATATATGGAGTCCAGTGGCAAAGCAAAAAAAAAAAACCCTATACAAAATGAATAAAGAAATTCTTTTATCATATTAACCTTTCTACAGTATGTCCCTTTCCCTAAAGTTGAGTGATGCAAGTCAGCAGTCTCCATCACAAAAGCGCAACAGCTGCAGCGACAGAAGCAGCGTTTGTGAATCACAATAGACCCCCTGCCAATGCAACCCCATTCTCACCAGCACATCTCTTACACAGGGCCTTGTCTTTATCCCCGAGGAAGACTCCGCGACTTTTTTTTTTTTTTCTTGCTTCGAACGGAGGAATCGAGACATCTGCCGACATACTTTAACATTAATATGCAAATCACATTTAGCCTACACAACCCTGCGCACGCCGCACGGCAGCTCCTGCTGGCACAGCAAGTACCGCAACGAGATCAAAGTTTGTTTTGTGTGGAATAGCCCATCATTTGACGCATTGGATGGGGTTGATTTATTTCTTGCAGGCTGTAAGGTTAACTGTTCTGTTATTGTTTCAAATCAAACTGCAAGTCTGAAGTGAGCTCGAGCCAGACTGCATTTATAGGAAATTTGATTATGCCCTTGAGTGTGTCTGCATCCTAAATATATCTCAACTCGTTGCATCGCCCTCGCAGGGAAATATGTCATGAATGGAAACATATTGAAAAAGTAGGCCTGTGCATGATTTTACACAAAAACAACACTAATCTACTACCATGAGGTTTAGACGATGTGGCGGCCAACACATCAGTAAAAACACATTTCCCCAACAGAACATGCAGCTCAACAAGAAAACTAACAGGCTACAGCTGTGGACACCCTGCCTTCCCTTCCCTTGCGGGCTCTCACCTTGTTGGCATTCCAGTCCGGTGTTCCCAAGCGCACAGGTCCTTTATCCAAATACACGCGTCAATACACAGCAATGAGTAAGAGAAATGTTACTGTGCCAAGTGAACGGGCTCATCAGATAGCGTAATGGCACATATTCCCGGATCCTAGTGGCTTCAGCTGGCGGCTGTTTACAGCGATTTGTCGCTTGTGTACCCGATCAGTCCCAGGGCGCCTTGGAGAGAGCCATGGTGCGGTCTGCAGAGAGATCTCCAACCTGCTGCAACCCAACCACCGACCGGTTTGTGGCCCCGAAATTCCTCCGCTCTGTTACCGCCGCCGCTGCCTGCTGCTGCTCCTACGGATGGAGGAGAGAAATGATAAAAACACCTGGCGCTGTCCAGACCAGTCAGCTGATTCCCCAGCAGGCTATTGGCTGAGAGCGCCTGTCTGTCAATGTCGGCCAAGCAAAGCAGAGCACCATCTGCTCCGGGCTTGTGATGAGAACAAAGGCAGGAGAGGGCGGCGGGGCACGGGGCGAAGGGGGGAAGTGTGGGTGGGGGTGGTGGTGGTGGGGTGGTGGGTGGCACATGGCATTACCGCTGAAAAAAAAAATCTCCCCTGTGAGCCTCCTCCTCTACATACAAACCTTGAGGACATTGTAGCCTATCAGTGATTTACTTTGTGTGACTGAAACATCAAAAAGGAAATTTTAAAGTCAACATGTGATCACTTATTACAGTATTACAGTACAGTGGTAGTAAGTTTACATTGGTGAAAGATAGTGAAAAAAGTGATAACTTCCATTTCTAGATTTTTAGGTTTTGTCCAAAGCAATAGGAATCTGCTGATCCAACACTTTTAGTTTGATTGTAGGACTAGGACCTGTTTCAAACACTCATTTCCTCTCATTTGAGTCTCTTCACATCATTCAGTCATGTTCGTTATAAACCCATATTTATAAGAATGACCTATTCTCAACTTGGGACTTTGTTTCCAATTTCCCCTTAGTGTCTCTTCGTAATCAAAAGTGTAAGCCTTGTGTAGGCTAGAGCTTTACCTACCTTCATTTTAAAGGGCTACTCCAGCAATTTAGTACTACACTGCTGTAAAGTGGTGACGGGGGTGGTGGGGACTTACAAGAGACAGATAGAAAGTTTTTTTTTTTTTTTTTTAAAGGCCAAGACATTTTGACTTTTAGTCCTCGGTATGCGCCCAACTCCAAAAATGCTGGTTCCTGAATTTCCTATTATCATCTGTCTCTACACCCCCTCCATTCCTGGTAAATTCCGACATCTTTTAACCTCCTTACCTCTTTTTGTGTCAAGAACATGCTGAAATAAATAACTTTGATAATGTTCATGAGTAAAAATCAGTGGCACGACTCCTCAGGGAAAATTGTACAATATATCGAGGGACCACAGGGCCAGGGCAATTCCCAGCAGTAAATGTGCTGTAATGAGATATAATAAAACAATTGGAAGATATGATGTACATGTAAATGATAGAACTGATCACACATGACTTGAGAGGTATAAGGTGTCAGCAATAAGCCGTAATGAAATATGATTACACAATTAAACATGAAGTGCACAATGGAGATTGGTGGAGTTCGTTCATTCAGCATTTCAGTATGCATCAGGCATACAGCTGGAAGTGCTCTACAGGCTTCATCTAACCACCAAAGTGAAAATAGAGGAATAGATGACAGATGATGCAGCCACGATCCAAGCACATCAGTGTTATATTTTGAGCATGTGGGGGGGGGTTTTGAGACAGAAGTATTTAGCACCCACTCAAATGTAATCGAGACACAGTTATTGAGTCTAAACTAGCAATATTTGGGGTGCCCCAGCAGGACTTAAATAACATATCTTGGTTAGAGGAGGTAATAGGATATAAGGGCAATAAGAGGCAATAAGATCTAGCAGCTGTTATTGTGCTATATGGACAAATCTTCATCAGGGTCTACAGCATAAACATAATCTCTCTAATACTCTTTGTTTTATCTGTTTCCTTTACACTTTAATATACATTATTAGTTGTAGGTGAGTCTGTATGTTTGATGAAGGATTTTATGAATTCCAATATGATTTGTTTGCTGATTTATATACTGAAAATCCAATGAAAATGTATGAAGATTCAGTACATTAATTTGGCTTTTTTGCAGGAAAGAAAACTAGAGGTTGTATATTTAGGCCCACATTATCTGGCTTGCTTTATTTTGAAATATTTTGGGGCTGTCTGAGCTTTCTGTTGGGCTCTTTTTTTCACTTAATGTGATAGGTCTCTTGATGTGTTGTTACAAAATGTATTCACAAAATAAAGTCTGGACCTGCACAGGATTTTACTCTATAGGTTTCTGTGGAATATGTCATTTGCTTCCTGGTAGATGGTTGAAGTACTTTTTTACATAGCACACTCAGTCACTTTTGTATGCCTTTTTTTTGGCTAACAAAGCAGATGCTCATGAATAATGTAAATATATTAGGTAGTGTACGTTTTTTCCATTTAGCAGTCCAAATAAATGGAAATAAAATCCCCAAATATCACCAAGTTGGAAACTTTTTTCCCCATTAAAAGCAACAGGTAACATGCCTAATTAATTAATATTCAACAGTCATTCATTTTGCACATAACATAATGAGTCAACAGCAACAAGTACACACAAGAAAAATATGCAAAGGCCACCATTAGAGTGAGTAATATCATGCAGTGACCTTTAAATATAAATTCAGCTGAATGCAGGATCACATTAAACCGGCACTCAGGCTGAAAAGCATCCTGGCTCCATTAGCATTTGTGCGCCCATGTCAGATGACATCAGTAAAGCATTACTGCGATTTGAGGAATCCATTTGCTCACAGTTGCGGTGAGAGGAGGAGATTATGAACCCACTGTAGCCACACATGCAGCAGCTGAATGTGTTGCGACTGCTCCTCAGGCCTGTTGCCACGTCCCCAAAGTGCATGGCAACTGCAGCAGAGCAAAACTGAGATGTGAAGAGACTGAAGTAAAGGCCCTGAATGTATAATTGCTCTTCGGTAAACAGCCTCCCTTCAAATCCAGCTCCCACTGAAAAATACCATTTTATAACATTGTCTTCACTGTGTTGAAATTTCTTATAACCAGATGGTCAAACCCATCTTTTGTGGTCAATGCCAACTTTTTCTCAATGCAGCCCTGCTGGAAAGCTGTATACACTGTCCTCTAGAATCAATTTGCTCCATGAGTGTCCTTGACTTTGAAGCATCACCGTCTTAATGCACTACTTCACACGAGAGAGCTGCGCATTCTTGAAATCTTGGGAATCTTGGCAACTGCAAACACTTCTTACAGGCAATAATTTCACACATATTGTAGATCTGAGACATTCGAAAACAACTAGAAACATTTTTCATCCATGTGTCCATGTGCTTGTCATTCTTGTTCTACTTGCTTTCATGACACATTAGCCAAATACGCTTATAACTGTGCCAAGTGTGTAGACACCATCTAACAGCGTAGTGAAGGGAGCTACACAAGCACTTTGTTGGGTTGATTTTCAAACAGTCAAGGCTGTCTACCAGGAGGTATGTCTTGCAGGATGAGCATCTACCTTCAAAGCCACCCTTGGTGATGTGAAAGAAAATGTGGGTGGGTAAGAGGCAGGTGGGGAGAAAAGCTCTTATCTGTACACCTCCTCTCTGGTTCTCACCCATAGAGAGATAAAGACAGATGGCCCGCTCTGTCAGAGCAAGCAGGGTGTAGAAACAGACTGTGTGCAGCTGGACCTACACACACCAATTCATTCAGTAAAGGTAGATAGTACTTCTAGTATAAAATCTCAGTGCAGCACCGTGGTGATTACTGTAGGCTCTAAAAACTGTCCGCAGCATTGTTAAAAAACCACTAATTATGACCCATGTTTTCCTATTTTTTGCCATTTGATACCCTGGGTCAGCAGGTGTTACCATGGAAACATGGCTCATAGTTCAGAGTCTGCCTGGGGATAGGGTGGCCAAGTCTTTATCTTTTGGGACAAAATTAAGATTGGCCTAACTCTACAAGCCAATCTAAAATATCTTTGTGAGACCGGCCCCAGGACCTCTTTGTGTGTTTTTTTCTGACCATGCCATTTTCACCAGCTAGTTCAGCACCATGGACAGCTCACATGCGGTGGCTCACTAAGGATAGTACCGCAATACAAAACTGGATATTAAATGAATGAAAGCGCAAATGTATCATAATTTCCTTTTCCCTTTTGATCATGGCAAATAATAATCACATTGCCTTTTTTAATGCCTCTATCAAGCATTGTCTTATATATAGGTAGAACAAAATGTTTGGATTTGGAAGTTCTTAAAGGTTCTTAAAGGTCCCATATATTACCATTTCCTGTGGCTTATTTAAAGCATTGATCCAGAAGAAGATAAATTTGTACCAGAACCAAAAATCATAACAATGTAGTTTTACATCTCCTCTTTCAGGCTTGTCTCTGGAGCTCTAGTAACAATAGGTCCGTGAGCCAATCAGAAGAGAAGAGGCTCTGAGCCTCCTGATTGGCTGACTGTTTTCTGAGTGATTGAATTTCAGGTAAACATTCACAGAAACAAAATCCTGCAGGGTTGGATGATGGGTCCAGGCGGGTGGGGTTTGGGGAATAGCTGAGAATGGAGAGTGCTTTGTTGTGACATTACAATGTTACAGAAGTCCTGACGGCTCATTTTAAGGCTCAGTTTCTGAATACAGGCTGTGTGCATTTCTCTGTGGACTGAGCGCTTTGACACTTTTAATATAGAATCTAGACCTGCTTTATAATCAAACAACATATGGACATCTACCTTTATACATGATTGAGACCTTTAAAGGTACGATATATAAGAATATGAAGCAATTAACATGTATTGATTGTGTTTGTTTTATTGCCAGTGTGTGAATGAATTGTTATGTAACTTAAAAAATTAGACCTTCTCCGACTTTCTCGGTTGCCTATAACAGCCTGGGAACTGATGTCTATGTAAAGGACACAGGACAAATTTTTCCTAGAAAATCCAAAGGATGTGACATTTATGCTCACTCCTGAGGACCTTACCTCAAGGACTCTCTACCACTTCCCTGCAGTGCCAGCAGTGTGCAACACTAGCTAATGTAAGCTTACAAACGGAGTCTGCTAACGTAAACAAAGGACCATCTCCCAGCACAAAACAAAATATCTTGTGTTCTGTCTTTTCTCATGTAAAATTTTTCACTGGATTTATTCACAATGTGATTATCAGGCCTAATGGTGTACAGGCCATGGGTGGACAATAATAAAACAATAACTGTGTCCTCATGTCCATCCTCTCCTCGTCTTCCTCGTCT